TGCCACCTATGGCGCTCCCAGACGGGAGCATACCTAGCAATGTGGTGGTGCTGTTGTGGTGCGTGTTGGGGTGTGTTTGGCGCAGACCACCTGCACCTCCCTCATCTCCGGTCTTCTCGACTTTTGTCTTGACACTGGGTCCCGGTGTGGGAGTGGTGAGAGAGAGGAGTACATTCTCCGCAAGTCTACTTTCTTTATAATCCCACGGGATTCACCACGTTGCTTCAGCTTGCTGAGGCTCGTAGTGGACATCATCGAGAGCGACGGTCACACAGTCGTGTGTCCACCGATGAGTTCTGCTCCCAGAGCGTGGGTCCTCGGTTGCTTGCAGCCAATCATTGAACTGATGCCTCTTGGTAGTCTACGAGCTCGCGTGAGGCCGGTTCCAAAACACGCGCGGCTCTAACAGGTAATCTACCCCGAGCGTGAGGTAGACAGGGAGACAGCGCCAGCATTGGCAGGCGAAGACGAGACGAATCAGTGGTGTCGACGCTGATTGCAAGAGCAGACCGTCACAGCGTCCGCGCTTTATTGATTTTTTTGGGTTTTGACTCCAGATGGTAATCCGCGATGTCACCAAAGGAACTGCTTGCTAAATATAGTGTTGGCTCGAGAAATACAGACGCAATTACTGTACATTTTAAGAAGGAAATCATAGCAAAGCACGAACGTGGTGTTCGTGTGACTGACCTTGACAGAAAGGCATCAAGCGTGTCATCTGAAGAAGAGAAGGTATGTACTGCAAGCTGGGAGGTTTTGGGCAAATTAGGAAGAGAAGCGGTATCCACCAGCTCGGATAAAGCTGCTGTCGAGACATTTGTGCCTGGAGAGGAGTTCTTGTCCCAACGAGTTTTCAACTGTGACGAGACTTGCCTGTCTTGGAAGAACTTGACGAAACAGACCATCATCATGCAAGAGGAAACATCTTTGCCTGGGCACAGGCCGATGAATGATTGGCTAACCCGCGAGCTCTGTGCCAAAGCAAGGGGTCAAGCCGCTGCTTGTCTATCATTCGGAACATCCGCGTGAAAAGTGCACAAGACGCGACTAAATGTGATCTGGAGGCCCAATACGAAAACTTGCGTCACGTGGATGTTCTTTAGGGAATAAGGTAATGACCTTTTGGCCCCTCAGTGAGGAGTTATCTTTAAAAAAGCTCGATAATGCTCCTACGCGTCCGCAACAGATACAAGACGATCTGTTTTCAGGAAATCAGTCCATCACCATCAAGTTTCCTCCTGCAAACGCCGCGCCATTCCTCCAACCCATGGACCAGAAAGTCATTGCGAGCTTTAAGAAGCTCTACATGAAGGCCTTGTTGGAGAGGTGTACTGACATGATAGACACAACAGAGCTGCCCCTCACAGAAGTTTGGAAGGACCATTTCCTGGGGGCCTCACGTTTGATCGATGGACTGAGTGACATGGTGGACCCTAACCTCTGCATGACGAAGCCTGTGGCCTGAGGGGGTCCCTGAACAAGACTTCGAAGGTTTCGGTCCTGCATCTGCACGAAAGGACGACCCAGAAGGGCCTCTAGTGTAGGATATTGTCGCTTTGGGGCCAATTTAGGGTCTGGAGGTGGATACGGTGATGACCTGACCACTGGGGAAGTCATGAAACTTCGGAAGGAGCTGGATACAAGAGCTCTCATCAGGGAAGGGGAAGGAGGTAAGGGCGGATGCCGTGTCTTCCAGTGAGATCACAGAAGTATTGGGAATGTTTGAAAAGGTGAACGCTTTCTTGGAAAAGTATCACCCTGATAAAACAGTGACTGCACGACGTATGGACTTGTCTCATGACAACTTTCTGTCTCGTTGTGGGGACTACCTCAAACGAAGACAAAAACAGTTGTCAGTAGATACGTTCTTCGGAAAGGTACAGAAAAGACGAGTAAGTGATAGTGAACCACGACCCGATCGCAGGTAAATAGAGCCCGCCTGACTAAGCGGTGGATTCTCCTTCCACAGCATACTCCACTCCTCCTCCCTACATCCCCATC